TTTGAAATACATTAAATACATCCAGCATTAACCAAAGTTAGCAACGGTCTCCCAGACGCAGGTGCAACATGGGTTTGTTTTGTGTTGTTGAAAACATGGCGGAGGGTAGTTACAGCCCCCCCGGGGGGGAAAGAGTTACATCCTCGTCACCCTTTTCACCCCTGATGAGTTTGCATCCCTGCAATACACAACCTACCTCATATGCACTAAAAATAGGTTATGCATAAATTATACCTAAATCTATGTTTTTGTAACAGTTATGTATGTTGATGTACAGTATTTGTATTTAGTTTTACAACAAAATTAATTTTTCAGTAAAAAAAAATGTCAATTGTCTAACTGTCGAACAATTTACATACATTTCTAGACTTTGAGTTCTACTAGAGTGATTCATGTTAAGAACCTTAAGTTCTGCATCCTGGGATTTGAAGTCCCCATCCTTAATTGTCATGTTAATTCTTCCCCAGAAATGAGTCCCAGATTCTTTTCATTTTATGTTTTCCAAATCCAGTCTATCAACTGAAGGCCTGCGCATTTTTGTCCAAGTCATGAACTTGGTTAAGTTGCTTAACTTGAGGGCTGTAATAAAAATGTGATGTTTTTATAACAACATGGAAATGTCAACTAGCACTCCATTTTGAATACAGCAGTTTCAGTGTTTTCTTAGAAACAATATTAAATTAATCCCTTTTAACCATTTTTAATATTTACTGCTAATAAGCAGAGCATAATCACAGCATAGTTTCCAGAAAAGCAGTATTTAAGAAATCAGCTTTTCAAAATAACTGTCAACCATTTTTTTAAATCGATACTCTGGTGTACAGTATGTTCCTGCTAATAATTACACGAGTTAAAAATAAGTTTTCTAATGAATACCTGACTTCCGATGCCCTTTGATCCCATATTGACTTTCACTGGTGACTGCAGAGGTTGGTACAGATGAAGAACAACCAAGACAAACTTGGACGGGTTTCTTCCCAGAATTTCACCAACCTGCTGCTACATTTTGTTGCTATTTTTCTGACCACATTTAGGTAATCTCACAATTCCTCATTTAAAATCCTACCTTTTTTAAAGGAGAAGTCTTGAGATGGATGTATAATTGTCAACTGCATGCTTTTGAAAACACATTTTGAAAACATATTTATCATCTACACATCTGGTTAACTATATGTATTTTCTTACACATTTAAAGGTGTACAATTTGTGACTATTCTGCAGTATTTTCTGCATTGTAGCACATGGGGGAAGGAATCTTTACATTTTTATCATCACACATTAATTAATCAGAATCAATGATCTGTCTTTCCTTTGGTAAATCTCTTGAAAATGTTTCAAAGTTAACATCCTACAACATTACATAAACTTAGTGAAACTGCTAGGCATTATCTGGAAAGTAGTGTTGGAGACACAAGGATTGTGAAACAGTGAAGAGGTTGTGGGGGGAAACTGGAACTTCTTGGAAGATTGTCTTTGGTTTGGCCCCTGGTTTGATACTTTGGCTGAACTCAGGTGATGACACTTGGACCACGGCATCCCGTCCGCTCGTGGATGTCTGAAATCTTCAGCGCAATGGCAATAAGGGGCCCAAGCACAGCCTGCAAGGACAAAGGAACTACGATCACACTTAAACAGGGCACTTCCATCATGCCAAATGTAAGGAGATCTTTGGGGCCAGAAATGCCTGAGGGTGTCACTGTAAACTCAGCTCATACTGTTGAATTGCTCAACTTACTGAGACAATTAAGTACTATTAACAGGACAAGTACTGATCATTCTTTGATTACTCAAAGTAATTCAGTTTTGCTGTTATTTTATTGCTAGGTGTCATCAAGTCAATGTAGATGATTTACAACCACATAGAGGTTTCCTTGAGAATGTCCTATTTGGGTCTTCATTCTTCCCTAAGGCATCTTCATTATTGTGATGTCAGAATCCTTACTTGTTGTTGGTAATTTTCCTTCTGTTTTACCTTCAGTTTTCCAAAGAATTAAGGTACTTACCAGTGCATTGAGTCTTCTCATAGCATGTCCATAGTAAGACACCTAGTTGTACTGTAACAGGGTTTATTCGCAATTTTTTGGTACCCTGATCTGATCCTTTCAATATTGATATCTGTCAGTTCCAAGTTCCGATCCGATCTTATAATAAATATCTAAATATACATGTCGACAGAGTAGGCTGCGGTACATTCTTTGTTTAAGTAAGCCTCGCAATTTCACAGTATTCTTCCTTATGATGTTTAAGTGCCTAGTTAGATTTGTCGTATTAAACGGTGCTCTGGTGCTACCTCCTCTATTAAGAATGGCATTGCAAACATTGCTAGTAGCTGCTGAGCTACTTCAGATTCA